TATTGTTTCCTAGAGGATGAGACAGGATTATTTATGGAGTTAGAGAAATAAAGTAGTTGGCTCTACTAGACCTTTCTGGACCGACTTCCAAACCAAACTGTAGAACTTGAGCCACAGCCTCATCCATGAGAAAAGCAAGGATTCTGAAGGTGCCCTGGAATCATGGAACTACAGAGACTAACATCCCAGGAAAGGGGTAGTTGCCTCCTGCCCCAGGTGCCCGTCTCTGTGAATGATATAGCAACAAGAACCACCTCCACCACTGGACTGAGCCTGGAAGAGAATGGTGGTCACCTTCTTTCCCTGTCTCCCTTGGTGCACCTTCCAGCCCAGAATAGCCAGAGGTTGATAAAGGGACCCCTGGTGGCACAGTGGTTAAGCATTTGACTTAAAGTTGGTGGTTTCACCCCATCAGCTGCTAGACAGGAGAAAGACAAGATAGCTTGCCTTTGTAACAATGGCAGCTTTAGTAGCCCTGTGGGGCAGTTCGAGTCTGTCCTCCAGCATAGCTGTGCGTTGAAATCGACTTGATGGCAATGTTTTCCCCACTGTCTGTAGTTCAGGAAGGTGCTGTAGATGGATAGGAGGAAGGCTGGGGACTCATTCACCATATACATATTGGTGCTGTTTGTTTGTGAACCATAGTGATCTGATGTACTAATAATGAAACCCCACCTGGTCCTGTGTCATCCTCACAACTGCTGCTGCCACTGTGCCAATCCATCTCGCTGGGAGTCTCCCTCTTTTTTACTGCCCCTCCACTTTACTAAGCACGTTGTCCCTTTTCAGGGACTTGTCCCTCTGATCATCTATCTGAAATATGAAAGATGAAGTCTGGCCATCTTGGCTTCTTAGGAGCATTCTGGTTGTACTTCTTCCAACACAGATTTGTTTTTCTAGCAGTTCATGGTATTTTCAATATTTTTCTCCAACACCATAACTCAATTGCATCGATTCTTCTACAGTTTTCCTTCTTCATTGTCCAACTTTCACATGCATATGAGGTGATGGAAAATACTATGGGTTGGGTCAGGTGCACTTCAGCCCTGAAACTGATATCTTTGCTCTTGAACACTTTAAAAAGATCTTGTGAAGCATATTTGCCTAATGTAAAACATCATTAAATTTCTTGACTGCTACTTCCAATGAAATGTTGATGGTGGATCCAAGCAAAATGAAATCGTTGACAACTTCAATCTTTTCTCCATTAATCATGATATTATTTATTGGTCCATGTTATGAAGGGGCTTCAAAAAGTTCATGGAACTATTCCATCATTTTTAAATTCCATTTTGCTTAAATCCTCTAAGCCTGCTCATATACAGGGGAGGGGGTTCTCTGAGGCATTTTTGTGAAGATGACATTTGCTGTGTTGGAAGAACCCTTGTAACAATGTCATGCTGACTACCCTCCAGTGGGGTGTTTTGTGGGAACTATTCATGCCAAATGCCTTAGTTACTAGAGTCCAGTCCTTTGTAAGCTGTGACTTCCTTATTGTGATAAACTGGAAGTAGGTGTCTTGGAAAATCTATGGGGCAGCTCTACTCTGTCCTATAGAATCATGAGCCCGAATCGACTCAACGACAGACGATGTGGTTAATACCATCAAATTCTCTGTGAAATGTACTACCTTCTTTTCCTTGCTGCCCTAAGGAAAACACACCGGCAGATAATCTCAGAGAAAAATGGGCACTTTTTAAAACAAAGTCCTATGAAACAAAACACAATCTTTCACATTTTTGAAAAGTAACATTGGCATGGTTTCCCATACTGCCCCTGATGAAACAGTCTAAAAATGATACTTATTTCCATGAATTCTTACTGCAAGCCCAGGGAGCTTGGGTGGTCTTGTAAATGGAGCCATGACCACACTGTGTTGCGTAGGGCACTCACACATTAGTTTTACTACTCTGACCACTGACTTGGTTTTTACAACAACAGCAAATTCAGTCTACCTTAAATTAACCTGTTATGTCCTAATTCGATTACGTTTTCTCATTTGAGTTCCAATTTAACCAACTTGGGGGGAAAAAAGGAAAGTGAGAGATGTTGGGGGTTACTTCCTACACAGCCTGGTAATGACATTGGAAATGGCCCGAATGTCACTGTGCTTTATGAAAGTGGGCCCACGAGACTTGTCCAGGCAATGAGTCTCAATGTTGATAACACAACATGAAAAAAGCATTCCAAATTTCCTTAAAGTTTGCCATAATGCCATCTCCAGGATCTCAGATTTCCCCTGTTTTTATTTATTGTGAACGTGTTTTGAAATAGAAAATATATGGCATTCAAGGATTAACCCCTGACTGCAAAGCTAAGGTATTGGGAATCACAGAGGATACACTGGTGTTTTAGTTGGAATCTCTGGATTCCAGGACATTGCAGTCTCCACAGGAAAAAGCCAACCTGATTTTGTTCCATATCCCAAAGACATTACTTGGGCCTAAGTCTCTAGATGCTGGTCTGAGCCTGAGTCCCTAGATGCTGGGTTGAGCCTGGGTCCTTAGATGCTGGTCTGAGCCCGAGTCTCTAGATGCTGGGTTGAGCCTGAGTCCCTAGATGCTGTGTTGAGCCTGGGTCCCTAGATGCTGG